GTGCAGCTGTGCCTATAGAGAACCGAACACAGAACAGAGGCTGATTCTGGAGGGTGGGAAGTGGGTCTCAGTCTCTTTCTCCTTTGTCATTTGGCCTATGGGAGGAAATGGAAGGCGCAGAGTGTGGGCTGTGAACATGGGGGAAACAGAGGAGATGTCCCCGGAATACTGCCAAGAGGAAGTGTGCTAGTAGGGCCCCGCCCCTGAGCACAGGGCTTTCTTACTGGGCCCCTGCCTGGGTACAGTTGTGCTTACCCTGTGGTTTTGGGAGAGACGTTCTCAGGCTCTGAGGAGTTTGACATATCCTCCTTCTTTTGTGAAGGCTGGGCCTGCCCTGTTGGCCCTGGCAGAACATTCCCAGGGTTCAGAGGAGCCCATAAGCTCTCCCATTGTGAGAGAGGCCCCATGACTCGGTGAAGCCTCATCCTTCAGAAAGACGCTCTGGTTTCTAAACCAATAAGACTTCCATGTAGAAAAGTCTAGCCTGGTTTATTACCTGACCCTACACTGAAGAGTCTAAGTGTGGGGATGTGCGAGAGAAGCTGGGGCACACACAAAACCTTCATAGCTTCATCCAGGGCCACAGACCCTATTCTCTGCTCACCGGCCCCGGGCTCCTCAGTCCCTAGGACCAGGTTTAAATACCAGGTGCTGTATCTCATATAGTTCAAGGACACAACTGTGGTCTTTAGGTGGAGCATGGAAACCCTTCTTCCAGGCTGTTTTTTACCCACTTAAACCCAGTTAAGTATGGCCCTCCTGTCTCCACCATTTTAACCTGATCACCAGTTCACTGATACTGTGGCATTTGGCCCTTGTCACTTCTGCTGCAGCCCAACCTGGATGCTCTGCTGTTCCCTCAGTGGGATCAGAACTTGCCCAGACTGAGTTCTGTATAACTCAAAGGGTTTCCCATGGACCACGGACAGAAGGAAAAGAGCCACGAATCTGAGTCAGGACATGAATGTCTATACTGGTCAATGGAGGAATCAAGTTTTATGACCCAGGGGCATAGAGCTAGGGTGCATCGAAGCTGGAGGGAGGGATGTCAGTGGACATAGGCAGCTGGGAAAAAGTACTGGACAGTCTGAGGGGACTGAGATATTTTAGAGAGTGAGTCCAAAGTGGCTTGTGGAAAAGGATCTTAGAAGAGGAGCTTTGTCTGAGCTCCTCGGTGAATGGAGTGGAAGACAGCCATTGAATATTTCCTCCCTCTGCCTGGCTTCTCCCCCCAGGGTGGAGGGAGCACAGAGTCTGGATGGCAGTTAGAGGGATTAGGCTTCAGTAACATGACCAACACCATCCGGGACAGGTCATCAGGAAAAGCACATTGCACTGTCCCATGAGCCTGAGCTGAGACATCTGGAGAAAACTGTGGATACACATTCTGGTTCTACTTCCCAGATGTATGACCTGGAGTTAAGACTGTTAACCTCTCAGAAACAAATTCCTGATCCACCCTATAGGAACATTAGCAAACCCACAGACTGTTAGAATGTCTGTAGGACAGATCCTGGTTGGGTAGTTCAATTGGTTAGAGAGTCATCCCCCTATGCCAAGGTTGCAGGTTTGATCCCCAGGCATGGCACATAAAAGAGTCAGCCAATGAATACATAAATGAGTAGAACAAGAACTCAATGTTTCTCTCTCTAAAAAAAACCCAAAAAACAAGAAAAACAGAAACTCTGTAGGTCAGCATATGCAAACTTCTTAGAACAGTGTCTGGCAGAAAGCTGGCACTCAGTAAGTGCGGAGGCCCTGGTCCCCATTCCCACCCATCTAAAGTCTTTGTAGAGCTATTGCATGCCTCCATTTACCTCTGCAGGGAGGCACAGAGCCAGGCGGAGCCAGGAGCTGGAGCTGGATCGCACACTGCCTGCTTTCAGCCAGACTGTGCTCACTTCTGGGCCTGGGCCCATCTCAGGGCCTGGGCTCTTTGTCTTGCTGGGATTATCGCAGCTGCAGGCCTTGCAGCCTGGCTTTCTATGCTTGCTGTATATGGCCGCTTTGGCAGGGAATGCCCTTCCGCTGGGGCTCGTGGCAGTTGATAAGACACTCCAGGCGCCCATGTACCATCTGTGGGGGCTCCTGGCCACATCCACATTGCCCACAGCCCTGGCTCTGGCGTCTGTCAGAGGAGATCTCCGTTGGACCTGCGCAGCTCAGCTCTGTGTCGCCCATGTGGCCTTCATTGCTGAGTCCTCGGTGCTGCTCGCCATGGCTGTGCAGCACTATGTGGCCATCTCCAGCCTCTGTGCTATGGGGCACTGCCGACACAGCGTGTGGTAGATACGGTGGCTGAATGTATGGTAGACTGTGACTCAGGGTGGTTGCATCATAGCGCCCCCTGTGGTCCTGCTCCAGAGAATGCCTTACTGCGGGCAGTGGGTGCAGTCCCACCCCCACTGTGAGCACATGCGTGTGGCTCCGCCGGCATGAGGTGACACGGGCCCCACATCTGGTTCAGACGGGCCACCACACTGCTCTCTCCCGCCCTGGACCTAGGGCTCATAGATGCTTCCTACGCCCTCATTCTCCAGGCTGTCTGTCAGCTGCCATCTCGTGGCGCCCTCCGCAAGGCCCTGAGTACCTGAGAGTCCTATGCCTGTGGCATCACTCTCTTCTACACACCGGCTCTCTTCTCCTTCCTGGCTCACCATTTTGGCCGCCACACACTGCCCAGCCATGCCCACATCCTACTGGCCGACCTCTCCGTGGTGGTGCCGCCTGCCCTTATTCCTGTGGTTTACAGAGTGCGGACCCAGCAGATTGCTCAGAGGCTCAGGCGCTTGGTTTGGTCTGCTGGGCAGGAGCAGCGAGGGACGTGGGCCCTGAGAGGGCCTCCCAGGGGAGTGAACGGGCATTCTATTTTCTCCTGTGTGTGCTCTCAGATGGCCAAGCAGTGCCGCAGGACCCATGGGGTAGAGCTCTAACCAAGGCATCATAGCGCCCCCTGTCGTCTTCATCGCCTTCATCGGCCAACAGATAGTGCTATGCTCACCCGACTTCTATTCCCACCATGGGGGCAGAATGCGCATTGAACTGGCCTCTCTCTGCCTGGGTCTTCTATGCCTGGACTACTTTCTAACCCTAGATTGATCTCCATAGATGTACATAGATCGCACAAATATAGATCAGGGTGGGCTTGAAACATGTCAGACAGGGAGGCCCAGGACACAGCCTGGGAGGTAAGGATCCTGTCTTCCTCCACTAGTCTGTCTAGCCAGAACCAGGTGAGTGAAAGGTGGCTCTGAATGGGCCTTTTGTACAGTGTGTGACACTCAGCAGAGACTCCATGTTTGCTGAGGGGATGAAGACAGAAGGGGCTGGGGAAATGTGAATAGAATAGAACACAGCTCTAGAAACCGGTTTCTGGCCTTTGTAGCTAATACCTAAATAAGGGAGAACTGTAGGCTCTGGGAGGGAAGGCAGTGGACAACACCATGGCTGCCTCCCTAAGCTATTTACCCACTTAGCTCAGACCCTGAGACTGCTCCTGCTATTCCAACTAGTACCACTAACCAGTTTTAGCTGCCAATTCACAGGAAGGTGACCCCAGCACCAGTTTTTATGCTTCATGCTCTACCTGTAATTACACCCTTCCTCCCCTCTACTCCCCCTATCCTTAATTTCTAGTAACACCCAGGTGGACACTGATTCTGGTTAGGTTTCCAACTTCATGCAGCTTAGGTTTTCCAACTCATTTCTTATCTCCCTGACCTCTGTGTTGTCTCTGGACCCCATGGTCACAGCAAGACCAAGCCAGAGGAGTTGAAGAATGAATCCCTGGCCTCGGGCAGAGAATAAGAGGGTGCAAATCTCTAAAACCAGATAAAGTTAAATATCTCATCACTGACTTCCCAACAGAGCATAGGGCATGTCTCCTTGGAATCATACATTCACCTAAGCTCTCGGACCTTTTCCCTAGAAGTACAGGTTTCATATGCCTGTCTTAACCAGGTATTATGTGTTGGGAAAAGGACCCTAGAGGATGCGGTACGTTAGCAGAAGGCCTTTATGCTGATTGTCCTTAACATCTGAAGTTGGGGAGGGGGCAGTGAGAAATCGGGAAGTAATAAGGGAGACAGACAGTTGAGCTACAAAGACCAAATTCCTCAACGGGAAATGGGGAGGGCAACACAGGCTTCACAGAAAGTCTGCCATTCACCTCGGCCTTTAAGTGGGTGTGAGACTGGCCACTGCCTGCCAAGTACTTAGGATGAACAGCAGCACCAGGGACACTGAACTGTGGCTCCTGATAGAGAACTCAGGACCCAAACTCTTCCTTTTCTGCAGGGAGCCAGAGGACTGATGGTCAACAGGCTCCTGAGGCTAGTTCGCAGATACTGGGGGGACTTCCCTGAAGGGCAGACGCTGGAAGCTGTGGGCATCGGGAGTTCAAACTGGGGGCTACATTTGAATAGTGGGGTGGGATGGAACTGTTTAGAAAGCCTGTAACAGTGGAGGACACACGTTTCTAGGGGTGAGGCTGGGCACATAGCGAGTAGACCAGTACAGTGTTGTTGAAGCAACCCCCCTGGATATACAGCTTGGCCCTCACCCAAGGGCACGTGGTTAAGTTAATAGTTCTGTCCTCAAGATGAAGCAGGTAGGATTGCATTTCCTCCTAGAGTATTTTCTCCCTCAAAGTGGAGGGAACAACCATAATCCCTCAGCGACCATTCCAAGGCCCCCACAGGATGTATCAGGTTTGCCTTAATCTGTTTGGAGAGGGGGGCCCAGGAGGACAAGGGCAGATCTCAGCTTGGGGATGGATGAGAAAGACCCTGTTTATAGTGAGAAACCTATCTGCAGACACCGGTCTGTCGCAACCCTGCTCTCCCACCCCTTACCCCCATACCTTCTCCCCACCCCATCCCACTCTCAGTCTGTTCAGATGTCGAAATCTGTGCCCCTCCTGGTGAGATTATTCACTTGGACCAGAGATAAAAAGCCCAAGGGAACTCAGAGGTCTTAGTCCATCCTGCAGCTGATGCAAGATGCAACAGGTCCCAGCCCTTCTGACCACTCTACTGCTGCTGCCCTTGGTGCACCAAGGACAGCCTCAGGTACAGGTGGATGGTGGAGGGATCACAAGCTAGGAAGGAGATAGTTGTGTGCTGTGGACTGGCTTCCCTCACTGCTCTGTTTCTTTTCAAGAATCCCGGGTTCTGGGAGAGAGTGAAGGTGGAGAGGGATGGATGGAAGGAGGATGGAGTACCCTGCCTACTCTGATGATCCCTGGGCTTGGGTGGGCAAAGGGTGAGAGAAAAACAGAGATAAAAGAGAGAGAAATGATTCTGGGATGCCCACTTGCTCGTCATGAATCTTCATTTTATGCAGAAGTCTGCAGCCTTTACCTGTGCTACGGGTGCTGGAGCTAAGGGAGGTCAGTCTGGGCTGTTGTAAGCATGTGAGCTGTGCTCCATTATTCTCCAAAACTACACTGTTGGGTTGGAGTTGCAGTAGGCTGAAGACGAAGCCAGATTAACTACCAGGGCCACAGGGGCGATGTGTGGACTATTCAGAGAAGGACCAGGGACATACCTTAATTCTTGGAGATTCTGTAAAGAAACCCCAGCAGGTGCCATGAGCCTAATCATCAGCTTGGGAAGGAGTCTTCAATCCAGTGCTGGCTCATCCAGCTTCGAGATGGGAACAGGGAGCTGAACACGGGGCGTCATCATAAAGGACAGGCTAATGAGAGTCTTAGTAACTTAGAGTCTATAATAACTAATTATAATAACCACAGGCTAGTAAAAGTCTTTACAAATTAAACTCCACATATATTTATAGTTCCAAAAGTAAAACATGAGTATCCTCATTTCGTGCAAAGGCACTGGGACACAGACAGAGTAATTCACCTAATAGCACAGAACCAGAAGTAGACTCAGGCAGTCTGGCTCTGGAATCAGTGGGTTTATGAGTGAGATTATAGGTAAAGAGGAGAAGACCCCACATCATGCATCTCGTATTTCTAGAACCTTTCCCTGCTCACTCGAGTTAGCTGAGGCGAAGCCGCTGCCTGCCACCCTCACGCCGCTGGCCTGCCTTGCACGCCCACCCACACGTCTGGGAGCTCTGCAGCCCCCTAGGAGCATAAACACAGGATGTAGAACAAGCATGAGACCTGTGGGCAGCTTGCAGCCTGATCACTTATTCACCACGTGACTCAGTAAAATATCTTTAAAAATCCTCAGAACCTCTGGTTCTCAATGGTACAATGTGGATAACAAGCTCTACTGTGCCATGTTTTTGTGACTGCTCCATATCAGTCCAGACTCTGGGGCTCCATGGTGCTGTTAATGTTAACTTTTCTTTCTTTGACAATTTGGAAGCCTCTGTACCTGCTGTCTTCAAGACAAAGTAAAGCAGTGGGGATCTACTACATCTCTGCATGGGGGGTTCCTGCACAGAACTGCAGCCCCTAGACTGGCCCTCGGACAAGCCTCTTTAGAGCAGCTCTCCTCTCTCCCACAGAGCATTCAGGAAAATCTGCTTCCAGATTCAGTCAGTAGATGAGGTAGGGAAGGGATGGCCCTACCAGTAGGAACTGTGGCTTCAGTTCTGAGGAGTCAAGGCAAGGGTCACTCAAACCCACAGCAGAAGAATGCCCAGACAGCCGAGAACAGCCTCTTGTGGAGACAGAGCTCATCTCAGGCACCCCAGAGCAGGGTTAGCCTCTTCTGCCTCCTGTTGCCAAAGAGCGCATTGTGCTCCAACATATACGCTTAACATGCCCGTAACCATAACTTTGCAGGTGGCAAGATTTGTGCCAGGCACCGTGGATAAGGATGGCCTATGCCATTGTGTGGTGTACCTGTCCAACGACCTCATCCCCTTGAAAGAGAGGGAACAGCTACGGCGTACAGCCCAGGAACTCTTGGACAAGTACAAGCAGGAGCTGTCCAGGGTGAGTGCTGGTGCTTCCCAGACAGGAAGCAGCACGGGATCTAGCATGGGGATGAGCTCTGGGGGTAAAGAAGGAGCTGAGGGAAGCACAGCCCTCATCTTTGAGGTGAATCCTTAGCATGATGTGAACATTAGGTAGTTTTTTTTAATCCCCAGGGGTAGTAACAGAGAGGCTGATATAGGGGGAGCTTCCTACATCAACAAGTAAATTAGTGAGTTTGGATTCACTGGGAGATGGGAAGAGGGTAGACCACAAGAAAAAGCTTGAAAATAAGCTGAACAGTGAAAAGGAGGCAGGAGAGGGTCAAAGTGGAAGAGTTAAAATAGGGACAATCTGTGGAGAAGTGTGGGCCAGGTGCCTGAGGTTGGAATGGACACTGAGTAAGGATGAGCACACAGAAATGCTGTGTCAGTAGTGTGCTGTGGGCAGCTGCTTTCGCCATGGCCACTGGCGGAGTCCTGGTGAAGGGTGGATGGGGCCAGGCTGGCAGCTGGAAGCTGGAAGCCCGTTTATTTGTTCACTCACTAAACCATTCCTGAGAGTGTGGGGCTCTAAATAGAAAAGGAAATACATTTTTCTTGCTGGTATTCTCAGTTGTGAAATAGAGAAAATGCTAATGCTCATCTCAAAGCTGTTAATGGAAGGAAATAAGTGACAGATATGAGAGTATTTTCTAGGCTGTGTGGCACTGGGAGGGGGGTATACGTAGATGGAAAGGACCATAGCTGTTGAGGATTGGGGTAACTGCTTGTCCATCCCCCCATGCCCAGGTCAGTGAGTATTCACATGCCTTTGAAGATTATGATAATCAGATCTTAGAAATGAATGGCGCCCTGAAGTCCAGGAATCCTACTGTCCCTGCTGTCTCCTATGAGTCCCCAGCCTTCAACCTGCTGCGCTTGGAGCTGGAGGGAGCACAGGAGTTGGCGGCTCAGCTTGCAGCTAAGGGAAAGATTAGTGCGGCTAGAGACCTGCTCTACCAGCTCCAGAGCCAGGTATGTGGATAGATTGAAGACTCTCTCTCCCCTTCCTGGCCTCCTGTCTTATCTAGTCAGAGATTTTACCATTTCCAGAATCACTTCTTTCTGGGGAAGAAGACCCTGAGCTGAGAAATATGTGCACCTGAGTTCAGTTCTTAAGGACACTCAGTGACCCGCATTTCTGGCGTCTCATTTCCACAGGTGGCTAACGCCAGCCTCACACTCAAGCTTCTGGCTGACACTGACCAGCGCAGCTTCCACGCTCTCCGCCAGGAAGTGGGTGTCCTTGAGAGCCGGCTAAGTGAGTGTGAAAGGGAGATGGAGCAAAAAGCAGCCTCCAGAAACTCTGGCTCACCCCTACCCCCAGGTGAGGACTCAGATGGAATTTCCCAAGAACTCATCTCCCCAATGACAGGGTTGGGCATGTACGGTTGGTTATAGTGCACTGAGGGGCAGTAAAGATTCTGATGTAAAGTAAGTCATTATTTCCTTGTTTGGTGTATCACTAAGGGATGTAGACCAAGATGCTGTTCTCTCACACAGTGGCATAGCCACATACATAGACATGTAAATACACCTATAATCAGACATACATACTAGTCTCCATTCATGCACAATCACGTTTGCTTATGCACTTATGTATGCACTCAGGTGCATGGACATACATTCAAGTGCACACACGGTTATTATACTTTTATACTCTGCTCTCTGTGGGTCATGTACCTCACACCTAGCTCATACCTTGCCTGCCCTCTTCTCTAGGTTCTTGTGCCCATGGAGGCCTCCAGAAAGTCAGCAGACCCCTTGTGGTGCAGCTTAATTGGAGAGGCTTCCCTTACAAGGCAGGAGCCTGGGGCCGAGACTCAGCACCCAACTCATCCTCTTCCCTCTACTGGGTGGCTCCTCTGCGTGCAGATGGCAGGTGAGTCCAGGCTGATTTCTCTTCTGCAGCCAGGTTTATTCCAAATGTTCCCTACCCTACCTTAACAGGTTTCTTTGTGGCCCCCTTCCGGCACCTTGTATTTCAGGTATGCCCCTGGGCCAACAGTCTAGGCCTGACAGGGTACCGTCTGGTGCTCCTCTCATGGGTTAAGGATGGCTCAGACTGCCCTAAACTTCCTTCACAGAGTCACTGTCTGAAATTTCTAATCCCAATGAAATCTAGAGCTAGTTCTATTCTTAGCCTGATCTTATCTCTAGAATAAACTCTTCCATACCTGAGCCTCAGAATCCTAACTTCTGTTCAGAAGTTCAGAGGATAAAGTTGACCAAACTTGACCTTTAGAGTCAAATAGATCTGAGTTTGAATCTCAGCACTGCCACTTAGGTGAAGTGACCTTGTGAATGAACATCTCAGAACCACTCTTAGCCAGCTGTAACACAAGAGTAATTAAATATATGAGACTATCACATAAAATTGCATAAAAAAGTGTGGACAACATAGTAGTTGCAGATAAATATTTGTGAAAGAATGGCTCAGGGAGTCAATGGGTAGGGAATGAGCCCTTCAATAAACTGGCAGCCTGCCTAGGAAGGCAGACACAACTCATGGACACGGTCTTTTAAGTCAGTACACAGAAGTGTGACATAGACTCAAATGATAGGAGGTTATAGAGGGAGGGGTGAGCATGGGTTGAACCAATTATTGAAGAGCCCCAATTGAAGTTTATCTCCGAAAAATTAGCTTTCTGCTGATAACAATGCTTCCCAATTCCTATAGATATTTTCTAACATACAAAACACATGCACATGCTTTTGCTTTAAAATCCTCTCAAAATCTCTGTGGGTAAGTCGTGCCTTACTGCCCAATATTAAGAGATGGCAATACTGATAAGCCAGGAATAATTTAAGGGATTTTATAAAGTGACTTTCTGGGCATAAATCTTCCTGAATCCAGCTTCAGAACTCTGTCCTACTACAGGACACTTGAGTCTCAAGGGCAGGTGAGATGCAGCAAGGTCTAAGAAAAAAAGATTATTCATTATGAAGGAAAAAGAATTGCTACCACTTGTTGATTACTTACTTTGAGACAAATGCTCTAGTAATTATTACTTTTTTCTTTAAAATTTTTATTGATTTTAGAGAGAGAGGGAGAGAGAGAGAGAGAGAGAAACATCGATGAGAGAGAACATCAACTGGCTACCTACTTACTGGGGATTTGCCCCACAACCCGGGCATGTGCCCTGACTAAGAATTGAACAGGTAACCTCTTGGTGCATGGGTTGACGCTCAACCACTGAGCTACACTGGCAGACCCTAGTAATTATTTTATTTGAATCGTTTCAGTCCTGACAAGAAGGAATTTTTTTTTTTTTTTTTTTACCAGTTTTATTTATGAGCTGATTAACCTGGAGCCAGTTACTTAGCCTTTCTGAGATGCAGTCTTCTAGCCTGTGGGGATGAAACATATCTGAAAGTGACTTTATTATCATGAAATGACATATGCATGCAGAGTGCCTGTTGATGTTTTTAATACTGTTACTGTTCTCTTTTACAAGTATTATTCTCTCTGAGTATACTGTAAGTTAAAGAAATAAAGGTGATATATCAATTCTGTTTGAACCCAAAGCCCCCATTGTTTATTAGAACAGCCTGCCCATTATAAATAACACTGTTACCCCACTTCTCTCACCTGATGATTATTCTGGTGTGGTACTTGGCCTAGGTACTTTGACCTCTACCGACTGCACAGGTCCTATGACGACCTGGCACTGCAGAAGAACTATGAGCAGTGGAAGATGGGCTATGGTGATGGCAGTGGCAATACTGTGTACAAGAATTTCATGTACTTTAACTTCTATGGCACAAGCGAAATAGCCAAGGTGGACCTTTCTTCCAACATCCTGGTTCTGCGGCGCCCGTTGCCTGGCGCCACCTTCAACAATCGCTTCTCCTATGCTGGTGTGCCCTGGAAGGACTTAGATTTTGCCAATGATGAGAAGGGGCTGTGGGTGCTCTATGCTACAGAAGAGAGCAAGGGCAACCTGGTTGTGAGTCGCCTCAATCCCAGCACCCTAGATGTGGAAGAAACCTGGCACACCAGCCAGTACAAGCCAGCCCTGTCAGGAGCCTTCATGGCCTGCGGGGTGCTCTATGCCTTACGCTCTCTGAGCACCCGCCAGGAGGAGATCTTCTATGCTTTTGATACCACCACTGGGCAGGAGCACCACCTCAGCATCCTGCTGGATAAGATGCTGGAAACGCTGCAGGGCATCAACTACTGCCCCACAGATCACAAGCTGTATGTCTACAATGACGGCTACCTGGTCAATTATGACCTCAGCTTCCTACCAACACCACCCACCAAACGCCCCTCTTAAGCTTCGCCTCCACCCTGATCTGTCAAACCCAACAAGCCCTCCAGGCTCCGAGGCCCAGTGGAAAGAGCACTGGTAGAAGCGAGTCTTCCTCTTCACCCTCCAGGTGGAACACTCCCCAAAATGGCCATTAGCCTTAATGATCAGTGGCATTGATTACATTTAGTTAGTTCTTTATACACCATATCTCAATCAGCACATTAAAGTTCTCTTTAATAATGGTCTAGTTGGATTTGTTTGGGAAACAAAATATGGGCTGGAAATGTTACTCCCCTCTTTACCAGAATCCTAGAATTGTAGGAGCCGAACTTAAAAAAATATCACATTCTGTGTTTGAAAGCTGTGAATCCAGCCCTTAGAATGGTAGGACTCTGTGCACTAGGTTTACAATCATCTCAGGGTGAGAACCTCTGGTTCTGGCCCAGAAGATCCAGGGGAGCTTGTCATTTGAATGGGATGGGCAAGCTCCCTTCCTCATCGCCAGCCACCTGTGTGTGGGGTACCTGGGAGTAAAGGAACAGTGTCTTGGTGTGGAAATCAATGTCTCATTGTCCTGAATAAATCTCACCTTTGAGTGTAGTTGAGAGAGGGGCTTAGGTCTGAGTCCTGTTCTCAGAAATCAGCAACTGATGGCTAAGCACGGGACAAGTCTGGCATGGATTGGGGCAGAGGTCCAGACGTTCTTAACAAAGAATACCCTTTAGCGTGATAGCAGGAGGTCTCCTATACAACTTTGTCGGTAGTTTTGCTGTTTATCTTCAACACACTGAGAACATAGGGGCTCGGACTCTCCACTTGACACCTAGCTGCATGGTGCACCTACCCACTAGGCAGGTGAATGGAATGTTCAAAGTTTCAGACTCTGAGGTCTTCACAGACAAAAGAATAGTTCATACACACTGCCACTTGCTTATACTTTCACACATGTGCATTCAGAAACATTTATCCAATTAGACATATGCATTCTCATTCTTACATACACACTATTTTCATCCACACCAAATATCAACATAGACAACACAATATGCATCTTAACCTATCCACTAACAGAAAATTCATCTGCTATTCAAATAAAAATCAATTACCATCTTCAGTACCTTTTATGGAACTGAGAATATGGCTTCTTGTTGCCTAAACCTGTCTTGTTAGGAATTTCACTGTTAACTGCTTCCACGCTCACCTCTTGGTGTACAAACATCCCTTCCCCACAATGCTTCTGCACAGAGGTAAGCGTTTAAAACTAGGCTAGGATATTGAAAAAAAAAATATTCTAAAAGTGCTGCAAAATAACATCCAGAAAAGACCGATTGATAAGTGAATTAAACATATTTTGCAAGGAACAGTTCACTAACCTTTAGTTTGGAATGCCCCTAGAGGGACCTCCCTGGTTAACCCTGCTCCTGCATCTAGAATAGAGAAAATCTCCACCTGCCCTGCAGCTCCCTAACCCCCTGAGAACATTCTCAATTAAGCCTTGAATCCCAAAATTTAGATGCAGAGAAAAGCATGACCTCCTTTTTCACTTAAGAACTTTTTCTTGCTTCATTTTCCTTTCTAAGCCCCAACTCTTTCCAGATCACTAACAAAAGCAATAAGCTTCTTCTTATGGGAGAGATTCCATTCCTACCCAGAGGTATGTAGTTTTATCTATGGCTTCAATAGACTCATCTTTTCATACTACAAACCTAGTATTTCTATAAGAAACCCATACATAGTACCACATATCCCACATAACTAATCTGGTCTTTTATTTATTTTTTTAATAGTTCCATCCTGAGAAACTGTTCCCAATTTTTTGGATAATTGTCTTATTTTATTTTATTATGTAGACCTGGACTCCCTAAATATGTCCTTTCCCATTTAGTCCTGGAAGAGACTGTGAGGCCAGAGTTAACATCACAATATCTCTTTTGTAAAGAAGTTATGCTCTTGGTGGGTGGGGCTAGGGGAGGGGCAGCCCAGGGAGGAGTCATCACTGTTTAGCCTACCTTGCACCAAGTATGAATCAGTAGCCACAACAGATGTCAGCTGGGCCACATCTGGAGAACTGGGGTGGGGACAGAACATCGCAAAATACCTGGCCCCAGCCTGGTTACTCATCCCTTTTAGGATAACAAGAAAACTAGCCTGTGGTCTGAGAATATAACATCTGAGACAGAGATCAGCAATCTCCTCTCAGCCCTCCCGCCCTGCTTCCGCCTGCTCTCCATCTGCCTTCCCACTAAGGTCCATGCCACATGCCATCTCTCGATCATCCAAGATGGCCCAGACTGGGCGTTCTTCAGGTCTGCTTGCCAACAAGAACATCTCTTCGAGTATCATTCAAGTGACATTGAAGACACCAGGCAAGCAGGAAGACTTTATAATAGCTAACAATACCTCGGTAAGGCAGTTCAAAGAGAAGCTATCAGCTCACTTTAAATGCCGAATGGACCAACTAGTGCTGGTCTTCATGGGCCGTCTTCTCAAAGACCATGATACACTGAGCCAGAGGGGCATCCTGGATGGCCACACCATTCACTTGGTCATCATGTCTAAACAGGGCTCCAGATCCCTGGCCCATTCTTCCCAGAAACTGCAGACCAATGAGCCCTGCCACAAGGACAGAAACACCAAAGAAAAAAGCAGTGTGGTATACAAGCCTGCTCGTATGAATCTCAACCCAGTGGAAGCAGCCCTCTTTATGGAGCCTGATATACCCCATGCGTATACCCAGGACCCAGAAGTGAGTGGTCCTGAGCACATAGCACAGACACTGGAGGATCCTAGTGCCCAGTGTCTTCCGTTCACCATGGACCTCATGAAACAGTTCATCTTAGAACACCCAGAAATCCAACAATTGCTGCAGCAGAACCCAGAAGTCTTACACATCCTTGACAATTCTGAGAGCCTATGGCAGACGCTGGAGCTGGCCAGGAACCTTGCCTTGATTCAAGAGCTCATGAAGATCCAGCAACCTGCACAGAATCTTGAGCATCAACTGAATCTACTGTCACAGCTGGGTACAGACACAATCCCAGGTGGGGACAATGCTCTGGGTCACATATATACAGATGCCAATGACCAAATCCTCAATAGCTCACAAGATCCCTTTGGGGGCAACCCTTTCACAGCTCTCCTGGAAGGACAAGTGCAAGAACATGTCCAGTCCTCACCCCATTCTCCACCATCAACCCAGGAAATGCGTGACCAGATCCCACAATTTCCTATAATCCAAGATATCTATACCAGTCCTTGTGGTTTACCTTCAATCATCTCAGCCAATGCTACTCCCAACAAGGGGAACCATACTTCTAGGGCTACTAATGCCACTAAGTCCACCAAGGGCCAGAGTCATACTTGTGACATTCAGCAGCCAGCTGGGGTACCAGCCTTATCTCACATAGAGATCACACAGCTACTTAAGGCAGAGTGCAAAGAAGAAACCATCTCCCAAGATAGCTCTGACCAAAGATTAGAGGGTGATTTCCAACTATCGGAAGAGCAGACCAGTTCTCAGATCATAGGAAGCATGATGCAATTGCTTTTGAACAATCCCTACCTGGCAGTCCAGATGATGTTGTTCGTGAATATGTCCCAGATGAGTGAACAGTGGAGGCAGCAGCTGCTCACCCTCCTGCAGCAGACGCAGCTTTCTGACATGCTTATAGCTCTAGCCAACCCTAAGGCATCTCAAGCAATATTGCAAATTGAGCATGGTCTGCAGCTGCTGGCCACCGAGGCTCCTGTTCTTCTGTCCTGGATTGCACCTTACCTCTGGGGCTTTGGCTCTCTTCCTGCCCCCAGCTGCAGCTACCCTGACACAGTGCCCTGGGACTGGGATGTGCCAGATATGGCTGAGGCCAAAGGGCCTGAATGCTGCCACAAATCTGGAGCAGTCATGCAGAGGGAACAGTTCCTGGCTGAAGATCCTTCCAGCTTTCTACAAGCCCCCGAGATTCGTTTCAGCAAGCAAATGGAATCTCTTCAGGCCATGGGATTTAAGAACCACCACGCCAATTTGCAGGCGCTCATTGCCACTGACGGGGACACCAGCGCAGCTATTCGCAAGCTCAAGAGATCCCAGGGACTCTAATCACCATCTCTACCTATTTCCTTGTTACCTCCTGCTGACCATTTGATCACCTCATCTGCTAGCTGGAGAAGTCCTGGAGTAGGAGAAAGCAGCCAATACTTTCTTTTACCAAATTATTGACCATTGGCCACAGCTCGAATATCTGTCAATAAAATGGCTACATCCACTTGCCCCCATCTGATGTTGGTTTTGTTCCTTTCACACACACACACAAAAAAACAACTATTTGCATGTGATAGCTCAGTCTCACCTACCTACATACATAAACACACATCTATATTAATATGGAGCTCCATAGTTGCATACAAAGAACTGCTTGCACAGATATCACATCATGCTCACATACCCAACGCTATGGAAGAAGAAAGACCTGGTAGGCCAGAGTAGGAAAAGTCTACATTTCAGCCAAGTTTTATTGAGTATTTATCCTCCTACTAACTGACATTTTTATAATCACAGGGCTTTGCTGGACTGTTTTCATTCTCTCTTTAGCACAGAGAGATTCATCTGCTGATACTTTCACTCACATTCCACCTACAAAGAGCCCAGGCCTCTGTGGGACATGGCATTTTCCAGCATCATCTTTAGCATATCTAACCTTTGTAACTTGCATTTTCTATGGTTAGCCAAGGTTCTATCTCCTTCTTTTCCTGTCTCATCAAGAGTATCTCAGCCAACTGGTAAGGAAACCATTGTAGTTCAACCACTCAATTATTAAACAATTTAATATGCTCTTGCCATACCTTAATTAGTCAACTATTGCTTTAAGCATTGAAGAAATAGCCATGACAAAACAAAGATTCATTGCTTATAAAGTTTATTTTCTTTTGGGGGATACAGACTTCAATTTATAGACATGTTAGGTGTTGATACATACTATAAAGAGCATGAAGCTGTTCTAAGTAGGGAATAACCAGGACAAGCCTCTCTGAAAAGGTGATAGTTGAGCAGAAGTCAGAAAAATTTGAGACTTAACCATGCAATTTCCTGGGAGAAATATATTCCAGGCAGAAAAGACCATATACTAAATGTAAAAGCCATCAGGTATTTTGAATACCTTGTGCTTGAATAACAAGATGATGTAGCTGGAGTGAATAAGAAAATAGGGGGTGGGGAAGAGGACATCAGAGAAATCATGAAGAGATCTGTAGGTGTGGTGAGGACTTTGGATCTTACTATGAAAATCACTACTGGATTTTGAGCAAAGGAATAAAGTGATTTAATTTATCAGCCTGATTGCTACAGACAAAAGTCAATACTTTGAAAAAATATAAATTACTTATGGCTAATGTTGAATCAGAGAAAAGACTAAAGTGTAAGATGCCATGAACAAGAGGGTTAACTGGGGAGTAGCTGAATTTGAGTCTTAATGGGGACACAAGAGATTAGGGAGTCTTTCTTAGTTGTTCACTCTAAGTGAGTGTCCACAGACTGTATACCACGACTTGAGGACAGGACTCTTGGACTCAGAAGGAGGGTCAGCCAAGGCCCTTCACTATAAAACAGGCAACTGAGATCAAGGAAGTGGAACGGTGAAAGTTTGGGGGAGACAGAGTTCCCAGGGATCCAGAGTACCTTGGAGAAATCTCAGGACTCTATTGTATTGGGCTGTGATGTCAGTGCTGAGGTCACAGAGATGACCTGAGGGAGTGGGTTCCAGCCCAGAAGGCTTCAGGGGTGGCTGTTTAGCAAGATGAGGATGGTTTGGAGCCCTGTATAAGAGGAAAAACGGGGTCACAGCTGATTGGTATGTATTCCCCAATCTGGGTCCTTCTTCCTGCCATTGCCCGTTTATTCACCCTCTCTTTCCCAGGGCCTCAAGTGTTCCTTCTCTGACCCCAACATTTCTCAAACCCATCATCCTCTCAAAACATCCTGTCCCAGGGACCTCGCTGCCCCTTCTATGTGGCCCCTCTGGTGTTCCCACCTCGACGTCCCAGGCCCTCTTTCTGCTCACCTTTCCTCCTTTCACCACTGCCCAAAAAGATGATCTCCGTCTCCCATTCCCACCCCAGCTGTGTCCCCACAGACCTGGGCCTCTGCTGCCCACCATGGCCAAGAGCGGAGAGGCCCTGCCACAGGGCAGTCCAGCACAAGTCCAGGGTCCCCACCTCATCAAAGTGACAGTGAAGACGCCCAAGGACAAGGAGGATTTCTCAGTTACTGACACATGCACCATCCAGCAGCTGAAGAAAAAGATATCTCAGCGCTTCAAGGCTCACCCTGATCAGCTGGTCCTAATCTTTGCTGGCAAAATCCTCAAGGACCCTGACTCACTGGAACAGTGTGGAGTGAGAGATGGCCTCACTGTCCACCTGGTCATCAAGATGCAGCGCCGTCCCATGGGCACTGAATCCCCAGCTGCTTCAGTCCCTACCCCAGCCCCTGGACCGCTTCCTCAGCCAAGCTCCATTTACCCAACAGATGGGCCATCCACCTTTAGCTTAGGTGTCCTCACAGGCCTCAGTGGGCTGGGCCTGACCTCTGGTAGTTTCCCCGACCAGCCAAGCTCACTGATGTGGCAGCATGTATCTATGCCTGAGTTTGTGGCTCAGATCATTGATGAGCCTTTCGTCCAGGGTCTGTTGTCCAACACAGGCCTGGTGCGCCAGCTGGTTCTAGACAACCCCCACATGCAGCAACTGATGCAGCAGAACCCCGAGATTGGGCATATTCTCAACAACCCTGAAATCATGCGGCAGACAACGGAGTTTCTACGCAACCCTGCCATGATGCAAGAGATGATGCGTAGCCAGGACCGGGCACTCAGTAACCTGGAGAGCATCCCCGGTGGCTATAATGTGCTTCGGACCATGTACACAGATATCATGGACCCAATGCTTAATGCGGTACAGGAGCAGTTTGGTGGCAATCCCTTTGCCGCTACCACTACTGCTAATGCTACCACTAACAGCAACCAACCATCAAGGATGGAGAACTGTGATCCCCTTCCCAACCCCTGGGCTTCCACCTATGGAGGCTCAGGTGGCAGACGGGGCAGGTGGCCCGGGGACCAGGACATTTCTGAAATTAGAAATAGGGTTCCCAGCATTCTGGGTAGTATAGGGCTCTATGACTATCTCCAACAATTACATGAGACCCCCCAGTCCCTGGGAACGTACCTGCAGGAGACTGCATCCACCCTCAGTCCACGCCAAGAAGCACCGCCACCAGGAAACCGAGTTCCCTCAACTTCACCCTCATCCCAGAAACCTGAGTCAGGCCAGGCACTCCCTAAGGAGTCAGTAGCAATCAAAGGCAAGTCTTCTTGCCCAGCATTCTCAAGATACCCCACAGAGAGTAGTCCTAGACAGAACAAAAGCCAAGATCATTCAGGGAATGGCTCTACTGATCACAGCACCAGCATGCCTGATCTTATCTCCGGGCTGGGCATCGCTGCCAACAGGGCCCCATTTGTTCCTTCACCATCATCCCCAATGGTGGCTACCCCTGACACCCCTGAGCATGGCTGGCTGCCGCCACCAGCATATCCAAGATCTCTGCTGCCAGCCAGCACAAATCAGGCCCCACAGTTTCAGGATGAGATGCGCCGGCAGCTGCCCCTGCTGCTGCACCTTCAGGCGGCCATGGCAAACCCTCGTGCCATGCGTGCCCTGCTGCAGATTGAGCAGGGTCTGCAGGTCCTGGCGACTGAAGCACCTCACCTCCTCCTCTGGTTCATGCCTTGCCTAGCAGGGCTGGGAAATATGGCAGGAGGTGCAGAGCCTAGAGAGGGAAGCCTTATGCCTGAAGCTCCTCCCTCAGCCCCAGCTCCTGAAGTTCCCTCACCACAGGGTTCTGTGGGTCTGGGCCTCCATTCTGCTCCCTTCCTCCAGATACTGCAAGCCCTAGCTAGTGCCAATTCCCAGCAGCTGCAGCCCGAGACTCCTTTCCGGGTGCAGCTGGAACAACTGCGGGCCATGGGTTTTCTGAATCCCGAAGCCAACCTCCAGGCCCTCATCGCCACGGGAGGTGATGTGGATGCTGCAGTGGAGAAGCTGAGACAATCCTAGGAGCCCAAGTTGTTCAGACCATATCTTTTCCTCTGTGCCCTTTCCCCCATACCCCACTGCCCAGCTCCCTCATCCTTGAATGCAGCCGCACTACTAACTGAATTTACTATTATGCCCTTTACTGCGGAGACAATATAATTCCAGAGTCAGTGAGGAAAAATGAGGGCCAGAAACAAGGTGAGAGTGCTGTGAGTGACCCACCCACTCCTCCACTGTGCCGCCGTGGGGCCCCAGGCTGAGCTCCGCACATGCTTGTCTCGAGATGCAATTACATCGAATCTCCAGCTGAGGCCTGAGTCTGGTTTTTTGTGGGCGCTGAGAAAAGGGGAACATATGGGAGGAGAGGGGATGATAAGATCTATATCTGCATGGGATGGGAGGGCTTGAGGGGAAACTCAATGTTTGATGTTAGAAGATTCAGAGGCATGCAGAACGGAGCAGGGCGAACTGAGGCAGCATTCATGGTTCCCTTCCAGAGGTCCCACTCATTTTGTGTCCTGTGGAAGCTGCCACCATGTATTCCATTCTTTGGTGCTTCTATCACCAGCCGAACTGAAGTGTGAAGGTGGGCACAGTTTTTTATTTTTATTGCCGCTGAAGACTATCTTACCGGTGGCTCTCATTTTGGTGATTCAATGCTGATCCCTGAGTAGGTAGAGATGGAGCAGGATTTGCACTGAGTTCTAAGGCCCCTCATCTCACCAGGTTTACAAAGTTATTGGCCTCAGCAACCAGATTCAGAGAGTTGCTGTCATGGTCCCAGGCTCTGTGTACCCTGGATTTTTGTCTTTCTTGTAACTCCTAGCTCTGAAACTCAGTACCTACCCTGGGCTCAGCATTCACTATTAGGTATTCGATGTGAGAGATGATCCTGCCCTCATGAGTTTATCATCTGGTAGCAGGAACTGTTCAAATTGTATCTGAAGAGTGCTCATTGGTAATTACAAACTGTGATCAATGCTAGGTAGAAAAAGAAGGGGAGTGTGAAATAGCAAAACATGTTTGATCAGGTGTGGGGAGGCTGCTGTGAGTGTGCACTCTGAGCTACTGTCTGAAAAGTAAGAACAAAGTAGGTAAAGATTTGAGAGGGGAGGGAAGAGTATTCCAGCAGAAAGGCCATTATGTAAAAAGGCACTGAGGTTGGATGTATTTCACACATGGGAAAGGCCCTCAGAATCTTGGACTAAATTTTAGTTTACACCCAGGGATGCTTCCTGTTGCCCATGCACTGCTAGGGCGAAAATGATACAGTTCATAAATCAAGCTAGTGAACCATACCTGCCAGTCCCCATGCACAGGAACGTGCCCATGGACCGCACCGGTAAGCAGTGTGGAGAAATGCAGCAACCTGCAGTGCATATTCACAAGTAAAGACATCTTCATGCAGGCACACTCTATGTCCACGTGTATAAGCACACACACACAACACTATTAGGTTGTACCACTGAAAAGAAGTATACACCTTTTAAAAAGTATGCAATATTCCTGTCAAGGAAAGAAACGTGTCTTTGGTAGAGGACATTGCTAAGGGACAAGGGGCCGTAGTGTGTGTTTACACGGCAGAGACTCAGTGTTGGAGGTCCTTTTCAGGGACTTGAAGAAACTGAACCTCTGTCTGGTACCCAGGATACTTGTACCAGACTCTCTTTACTTTTTAGCTACCTGCCTGCAGGTGGCTTAGAGATAAGAAGAGCTTTCGGGGACAACTTTTGCCCACTGTTTTAGGGTTCGATCTCTAGGTGGAGCACCAAACTTCAAAACCCCTTTTATCGCCCACTTCATTCCCCTTCTGCGGGGGAGTTCTTGTCCAGATCGATGAAACTGTAGTTCATCAAGGTGCCAGGGGAAAAAAGATAAAAGTCTTGCTTCTTTGTTTCCTGAAAGTAACAAGGCAAGTGCTCTGGGCTGCTACTGACAGGGGAAGGTGTACATACACAGTCTCTCATTTCCATCCTGGGAAGGCCAGGCAGGAATGGAAAAAAAAAAAAAAAAAATGGGGAAAGAAATGCTGCTGTCTTCATACGGGAAAGGGAGGCACAAGGACGCACATGAAGAAAAGCCAGCTTACCAGGGCAGACAGCAGGTGGGAATTTGTGTCTAAAAGTCCCGAGGAGGGAAAAGAGTGTTCATTTAACAGGCTCTTTCTGGCCATGTCCTCTCAAGAGCCCTGTACCATTGATGGGATATTGAGAATCCTTGCTGTAGCTTCATCAATGACTCGAGCTCCTCAGCCCCATGCCCCTCTCCATGGCGAAGGAGGTGAACTTCCTGGGGAAGGAGGCTCCTGGGGGAGGCCCAGTCACTGTTCTGCACCAGCAGCGAACAAAGAGCCTGGTGAGTGGAAAGCACAGTCACTGTTCTGCACCAGCAGCAAACAAAGGGCCTGGTGAGTGGAAAGCATTGTAAATGACTGATGGAGACAACGATGAATGGGAACTGAGGAAATGAGTGCCGAATGAGAAAGTGTTCGAGGAGACGAGGTAGATCTGAATCAGAGAAAGGATATCGCAGATTGTGTTTAGGGAAATAAAGACTGTTGGGGTTTGGGGAAGAGAGATTCCTGTGGGCTGATGTTACTGAAAAGGCAGACCTCCGGAGATGTCCCATGTGCAGACCCGGTTCTGATTCTCACACTCTGTCAGCAGTGCTCCAAGTCAAACCTCTGGGCCTTGGAAGGACCCCACACTAGGGGGTGGTGTGGGTGGAGACAAGAAGCAGGGTCAGAGTTCTGGTCATGCTTGGTCTGGTGCCTGGATCCTCACAAAATGTACCTTTTCTTCAAACCAAAAACTTTGCTGGAAAGCAAAGAACAAACAAACAAACAAACAAACAAAAAACGAACAGTGAAGTCTGCTGATTTGTATCACACATAGCCAGACAAGTAGATGGACAGCGTTTTAAGAGAAAGGTACGTTACAAACAACAGAAAGTACTTTTTGACATCTATGTTCTTTATTTTTTTTAGATGTTTTCCTAATATCTGTCATAAATACATGCCCACATTTTTCTAGATAGTTTAGGGTTGCACTAAGTACATTTAATTGTAATAATAGTTCACACTTTTTGAGGCTTCCCCATATGCTCTGTCCTGTCCCAAGCTTTTACATCTGAAGCCACACAATCATTCTTTCATGCAGGTCACATCATTATCGCTATTTTTCAGATGCGGACAATGGAGGCATAGGAAGAGGGGAAACCCTTTGTTTTCAAGTTATACAACTCTGCGTAGTAGAACCAGGATTTGAAATTAGATGATCTATTTTCAGAGCCCACAATGTGAAACACTGCACTGACTGAAGTTACTGCTTTAATCCTTTTCAAACAATGGGAAAGGGGCAGAGTCTGTCGTATTTAATTAAAATTGTTGTATCCTTGACTCTTGCAATTATCTACACGGAACTAAAATACTTCTTTACCGTGTTCCTCATATGAGGATATGTGTATCTATTTTGAAAAAATCTACTAGTACCATACTTCTTCGATTATTTAATTAATAAATTAAGCTGATTTTTTCTTTACATTCAACATTATTTTATATTAGTTGCAGGTGTATAGAGTAGTGGTTAGATAATCATCTACTTTACAAAATGGTCCCCTGATATTTCAAATACCCATCAGGCACTGTACATCGTTATTACAATATTATTGACTATATTCACTATGCTATACTTTACCTCTTTTGGACTATTATTTTGTGACTACCAATTTGCAGTTTTTAATCCCTTCCTCTTTTTTACCCAGTCCTCAATCCCTCCCCTCTGGCAACCGTCAGTCTGTTCTCTGTATCTAACTTCTTCAATTATTTAAAATTTGAAATATTTAATAGAAGTTCAATGCTTGACTCATTATTCTTTTGCAAAATCCCATTGTCTAAATGTGTCAATTTTTCTGAATATACTTTACAGTAGATGCCAAATTTCAGAAAAGGACAAATGACTTTTTAGCTGGCTTTCCTTTATATTTATAAATTAGAGAAACATTATGAAATGTATCAGAGACAGTATTTTCTTTTAGAACAGGAAATGTTTCTATTTAAGTTTTATTTGTTTATAAAGAACGGTAGTTTCTTCATATAAGTTCTACACATTTAGCTTTATTTAAATGTTACTTTTTTTTTTTTTTTTTGGTTATTTGGAGTAAACATTTTTCATTATGTTTTCAGAATGGATATGGATGTGATGGAATTGCGCTGCCACCAGCTACATTTTGAATTCTTATTTCAGGGACATTTTTCATTGATTCTTATACGGCAAGCAAATGTTTCCTTGATAAATAGTCATAAAGCCTCCACTGTGCTAATAATTAAACCTCTTTTTTTCTAAAAACATAATTTGACTTTTTTTCTCAGTTTGAAAGATTTAATATCTAAAAAATGTTTATATACCATTGCTAAAATAAGAATAGAAAAACAAGCACTAATTCCGCTGCCCAGATAGCACTGCTAATACCATGATGATGTCCTTTCATGTATTTTACAAAACTGTGATTACACTATACATAGTGTTTCATAGCCTACCTTTTAACTTGATAATATAGCATAAAACTTTTTTCTAACTTATTAAAGTAGCCTTTTGCAGATCATTAGTTTGATAAATATTTCCTGAATACTTATCATATGTCAGAAACTGTGCTCAGTGCTAGGAATACAATGGTGAACAAGATAGATATGGTTTCTGCTCTAAGAACCTTCTAATATAGTAGCAATAACACACCTCAAACAAACAAACAAACAAGAAATTGAAGTAATAGTTAACACAGAGCAATTACCAAAAACTAGACACTGTTCTTTAAGCTTATACATAAAGTAAGTGTTATGCTAAGTAAGTATTAACTTACTTAGTTCTTAAAAGAACCCTATAAAGTAGATACTCTTATTAAACCCATTTTACAGATGATTAAATTAAGGAATAGGAATGTTAAGTGTCTGATCTAAGGTTACTCAGCTAGTAAATGATGGAGCTAGAGCTTGCATTTGAACCAGTGTTTCTAAAGGCCATATT